GTGTACCTGCGAAGACCAGCGATCTGATTTCAGGCGACAGAATCATCGGAAACGACGGAGTATGAGTCGTTCTTCACAGAGAGAAAGAGAAAGCTAGGGTTACGCAGCGGCGACGAGATTTGTTTTATGTCTGAGTCAAGGGTGGAGTTTTGTTGAGTGTTGACTCGAGACATAAGACAAGATGGTCTTTAACACAAATGGGCTTTGTCCGCAAAACACAAAGAAAGGAAGCTGGGCCGAAATCTGAGAGAAACCTAATAACAGATTGTTTACAAATCTGTTATAAGAAGAAGAAGAATTCATCATCTTCAACAACACGAACAACAAACTCGTAAACAGAGTTGTTACAGAGGACATAGAAAGAATACCAACCTAGAGAGAGAAAGCTTGCAATAGAAGCAAAGAGAGTTCTTCAAAGTTTTGCTCTTATTCTTCATCGTTTCTCTTTGGATCTCTTTTCCTCATTGTGTTATCTTCTTCTTCAAGTTTCCTTGTAACCCTAGCGACTTTGTAACTCTTTCTCTTGATAGTGAAGTTTTGAGAGGACCGGCTCTCGACGAGATGTACCAGCATGTTGCTGGGAACTCGTAATACTTGGGTGTGTCCTTTAAGTTTCTGCAACCACAAGCAACAAGTATTCAATCGGGTTTAATTTGGAGATCAATCGGAAATAAGATTGGTGTATAAACAGAGTTAAAGGCGAGTTAATCAAACCTGGAATCACAACAGGATACCGCTTACACCTGTTCGATACCGAGGATCAAGTGCTGCATCAATCTCATCAAAAAGATAGAACGGTGCAGGATCGCATCGCTGGATGGCGAAAATTAATGCAAGGGCAACAATTGTCTTTTGACCTCCTGACAATTGTTTCATTGATTTTGTCCCTCCTTGACCAGTAAAAGACACCTACCAAATAAATACCAAATGCGATCAATTAGCATGAAAAAACTAGACATGTTTTTAAATGTAGTGTACCTTCACTTTTACACCATAGTATCTCTCATCCCTTCCCTCTGTATTAGCTTCAAGACATTCATCGTCTTCATCATCATGATCACGGTCCTAAATATGCCATCAAAATGTTTCAGACAACAATGAAATAGTAAGTAAGACGGCGAGTAAATTATTTGTTACTTTTACACTTATAGGTTCACTAGAAAACCACCTCTGGAGATAGCTTACTAAGACCACTAAATTTATAGAGGAAAAGGGAAGAAGAAACATGCCTTATTGTTCATGATCATGACAAGCTCACCATGTCCACCTTGTACAATCTCAGAGAATACTTTGTTCAAGTGAAATGCAATACCTTTGAAAATACGGTCTATAGATTCGTCTTTCCGCTGATCAAGAACTGTTACCAGTTCTTTAATTTTCTGCACAAAACGTCAAATGTGTCAGTTCCTTGTTCTACATTCTACATAGAATTTGGTAGAAAATATTCATGACTTTACCTCATCTCCTGCATCAAGCTCTGCTTTCCGTTTCTCAAGTTGCTCTCGTTGTTCTGTGAAACTTACATATTGATCAACTGCTTTCTTGTTTACATGGCTGAATTCTTGTAGCTGTTCATTGCACCAGATGAGCATCTTCTGCAGATTCTTGATACTTTTTCTTTTATACCTATATAATATACCATAAGATTTATACATATGATATGATACAACTTCTAGGAGAAAAATATGTGGATATATAACAATATTTCACCAATGACGACTAAGAACTTATTGGACAATTGTACTCGGATATGAAACGCAAACATACGTGTTTAAATCACCATACGGTAATGGACCCAATCCTCTAATCTTCTTTGTATACTCTTCTTGCTTAGCAAGGAACATGTTGCGAAGGCTGAATAGTTCATCGAACTTTTCAGCTTTATCTTTCCGTGTACTCTCATGATCATCTTCCAGTGTCTGAAAGAAGAAGAATTTATCTTCAAAGATAGGCGATAAACGACATTACTCTTAGTTTTACAGAGTATACTCGTACTACCTTTGACTTCGCTTTCTCGTCTTTGATTTTCTTGATTTGCATCGTCTTCTCATCAATGCTTTGACAGAACCTAAATCCATGAAAATGACTAGTGATTATAAGCTGAAAACAATGTCAACAAAAGAAGGTAGATCAGAAACACACACTTTCGAGCTTGTTTGTTGCCTCATCAAACAACAATTCTGCATCATTAAGTTTTTGTGTTATAAATAATGCTGAACTAGAAAAACAATCATATTCGATCGAAGCCTGTAAATCATGAATTCTCCTCTTTAAATTTGTTATCTAAGTGACTTATAATCAGATACATAGTGGTAAAAGGCCAGTCCTCGCTGGGCCGAAGGCCCCCCGTGGTACGGTATACGTCAGTAAACCGGGTTTTTTGAGATGTATATATATGGAGTTTAGGTTTTATTCTTTGTAACACACGAGTAATAAGAAACCCTATTTTCGTCTCAATCTCTTTTCTTCTTTGCTTTATCGCCTTTGATTCACAACAAT